TTTTTTTTGCTGGGACCTTCCCCAATCCTTGCACGGGCTGGCCACCCGGGACCCGGGCGGCCCGGCTGGTAGCCTAGCTCATATATATATATATATATATATATCATACTTGCAAGCAGACAGACCGAACGAGCGTCCGGTCCGGTCCGCTTTGCCGCGTGCGGCACCCTCCCCCCGGACCAGACGGACCCGGACCGGACCAGACGGGGGCGTTTTTTTTTTGGGGGGGGGGGTTGGGGCGTAACTGGTCCTCGGGCGCACATTCGTGCACCGCACGGGTCCGGTCCGGTGGTCTGCCGCACGTGCGGAACCGCCCGGACGGCGTCCGCTTGCAAGTATGATATATATATACATATAGATATAGATATAGATATGTCACAGCCCCTCGTTTGTTGTCCTCTTCTCCCTCTCTGCCTACGGTTTACCGGGCAGTTCTATTTGACGATATATGTATGCATATATATATATATATATATATATATATATATATATATATATATATTTTTAATGAAACTTCGTTTACGGGGAACCTAGTTAACGAGCTGATCAGAGCATCCCTGGTAGTAGGTCCCGGCGTCGAAGGCTCCATCTATTGGTAGGGAGCTACACCTGCTGGAAATTGGGTCCAGCGTCCCTGTACAATGATGTGAATATATTACTGACTGAGCAATGATGCCCTGGGTTCCGACCGTGTTTCTAACAACCCAGAGTAGGTATCCTGTACAAGTGCTGAGTAAGTGTACGGTTGACTGTAACGGGCTGTTCTTACTGTCCTTTGTGTAAAGTATAGTATAATAGTAGGCAGGCATGATTGCTGTGGTTTAAGAATGGTAAGTTGTGAGTTGTGGTGTATCGGATGAAGTAGGTATAATGTCAGTATGCGTGTGTGTATATGTGTATTTGTATTTGTCTGTGCAGGTAGATAGGAATGGATAAGTATGCGGATGTGAAATCTGCAGCTTCCTTATAAGAGGCCGTCTCTATGAGCATTCTACTTATTATCATGCATTTGGACTAGCATGCTGCAAGTGTCTGTCTTGTTGAATGGAAATGTAATATGTTGTGATCTGTGGATTGTGGTGGGCATAAGCATTGTGAGAAATGTGAGATTGTCTGTATGCATCAGTATAGGACATAGCTACGCCGGACCGGACACCGGACCGAATCGGACCTCCCGGGCCCTTCCGGACTTCCGGGAAACCGGAA